AGAAAAGGAGAGGAATTTTTAGTGTAATTCTCTGGTGTTTGCTTCTGTTTCAGATGGTGTGTGGAAAGTCCACATAGTGAGTTCATTTATTTTTTTTTAAATTATACCTCATTAAATTGGCTTGGCACTGACAAACCCACTGGTCACAAGCTTTTTAATAATACCTAACAAATAAAGCACTTTGGAGAAATAAATGTAATTTAAAAAGAGAAGAATTGATCTTTCACATATATAAGTTCAGGTCTTTACATATGTTAATCTATTTACTAATAATATTGTTTAGGGGTAAAATTCCATAGCATAGTTTAAGTCATAAATATTTTATGTTGAGCAATGCCTACTCAAATTATTCTGTAAATCTTCATTCATTTAAAAATTATATAATATGGCAGGTAAATTATTAACATGTTTTAGGCATATTTTAAGCATTCAACAGTTGTTAGGCCTTAAAAGCGCAAAACTTAAAGATATGCATGATTAAAAGAGTCCAAACATTTGTTTAATATAGGCCATGTCTGTTTCCTCTTTAGTAAACAATAGCAGAATTCATTTTTTTTAATCTTCTTTCTTTTTAAAAAATATGTTTTTATTGATTTCAGAGAGAGGAAGAGAGAAGGGCAGAAAGATAGAAACATTAATGATGAGAGAGAATCATCAATTGGCTGCTTCCTGCACACCCCTTACTGGGCAGCAAGCCCATAATCCAGGCATGTGGTCCCTGGCATACTGGGAATGGAACCATGATCTCCTGGTTCATGGGTTGATGCTCAACCATCGAGCCACACCAGCCAGGTTGCCTTCTTCCTATCCCATATCTAATCTATTTTTTTTAATTTTCTAATTTTTTATTGATTGATTTTTAGAGAGAGATAGACAGACAGACAGAGACAGAGAAGCATCAATTTGTTATTCCACTTATTTATGCATTCATTGGTTGATTCTTATTTGTGCCTTGGCCAGGAACTGAACCCTCAACCTTGATGTATTGGGACAATGCTCTACCTACTGAGCTAGCCAAACAGAACCTTAATTTTTCTATAATTATCATAAATTTCATGTGCAAGTTTTAAAAATAATGTTTGTCTAAATTAGGGGTGGAGAACATCTGGATATGGGCCACAAAATCATGTGGTCTGGCCCTGCCAAGGTATTAGGGGTGAGTTAACTAAATGTCTGGCCAAACATAACAGGCTAATTTTTAAGTTGATAATTTTGTATGGCCCACAAATGATGTTATAAATATCCAAATGGCCCTTGTCATAAAAGATTCCCCACCCCTGTGTTAAATAGTCTTCCTAAGTTTTTTTAATCTAATTCAGAACAGAAGAATAAAATTTTTCAAGCAAATACTTTATCAGGCCTCTAGAAATATAGGGTGGGACAAAAGTTGGCTTACAGTTGTGAGTACACAAAACACAGAATTTCTTATTATAATACTAGAGGCCGATGCATGAAATTCATGAAAGAGTAGGCCTTCCTTTCCCCGGCTGCTGGCACCAGCTTTCCTCCGGCGCCCGGGACCCAGGCTTCCCTCCCAGCCCCAGCTTCGTCTAGAAGGTCATCTGGAAGGATGTCCACTCTAATTAGCATAGTATGCTTTTATTATTACAGATTATTTATTAATTATTGTATTATTTCCCATACAAACAACTATAAAACTACTTTTGTCTCACCATGTATTGCATAGCTACTCAAATGAAAACATATTTTTAATATTTTTTCAGCTTTTTTATTTCAAGATAAACAATTTTAAATGAATGTTAGATGCAATAAACCTTAATAGTTCAAGAAAAATAAATTTAAATATGAATATGTTAAATGCAATAAATACAAATTATTCAAAAAATGATCTTACATATAATATTGCATGCAATAAACATTAATATTTCAAGAATAAAAGGATTTTAAGTATAATGATATTACCAAAACTGTACCAACATAGATGATAACTCAAACGTTGTAGGAAACATTAAAAATCTGAAAATAACAGGATTACTTCTACTATATTCTAGTACATATTTTCCCCCTCTGGCTCTATTTTTGTTTATTAGTTTATGTTGTTCATTATATTCTACAAATGAATTAGATCATATGATATTTATCTTTCTCTAACTGGGTTATTCACTTAGCATGATGCCAATAATGTCTATTTTGTTGGATAAGAATATTACTACTCCAGCCTTTTTTTTCTTTTCCATTTTCATGGAAAAGTTTTTTCCATCCCTTCACTTTCATCCTGTGTGTGTCTTTTGTTTTGAGGTGGGTTTCTTGTACACAGCATATAGTTGGGTCACTTTTTTTATCCATTCAGCTACCCTCCACCTTTTGATCAGAGCATTTAATCTAGTTACATTTAGGGTTATTATTGAGAGGTACTTATTTATAGCCATTTTAATTCTGTATGGCTAGGTTTCTTTCTGTGTTTCTTCTTCTCAGCAATCCCTTTAACATTTCTTGTAATGCTGGCTTGTTGATGATGAACTCCTTTCGCCTTTTTTTTTTTTTTTTTTTTTTTTTTTTTTTTTTTTTTTTTTTAAATCAGAGAAGCTCTTTATTTGACCGTCTGTTTTGATGATAGCCTTGCTGGATATAGTAATCTTGGTCTCAGATCCTTCCTTTCCATTACCTTGAGTACTTCATGACATTCGTTCTGGCCTGTAGAGTTTCTGATGAGAAATCAGGTATCAGCCTTATGGGAACTCCTTTGTAGGTAACAGTTTTCTTTTCTCTTGCTGCCTTTAAGATTCTCTCTTTGTCTTTCATTTTTGGCATTTTAATTATGATGTGTCTGGGCATGGGTCTGTTTGGGCTCTTCTTGTTTGGAGTTCTCTATGCCTCCTGAACTTGTGTGGCTTTTCCTTTACCAGGTTAGTGGAAGTTTCCTACTATTATTTCTTCAAACATATTCTCTATTCCTTTCTCCCCTTCTGTCTCTTCTGGCACACCTACTATTATATTCTAATATTGTTATGTTTCACATTGTCCCACAGCTTCCTTAAGCTGTCCTCCTGTTTTTTAATTGTGATTTTTTCTTTCTTTCTGGTTCTCTAATTGAGATTTTCAACTCTGTCTTCTAATTCACTGATTCAATCCTCAGCTTCCCCTAATCTGCTGTGTATTCCTTCCAATGTGTTCTTTATTTGTGTTATGTCATTCTTTATCTCAGACTATTCTTTTTTCATAGTGTTGAGCATTTTTACCATCATTACTCTGAACTATGTTTCAGATAAATTTCTTATCTCTACTTTATTTATCTCTTCTTGAGAATTCTCTCCTTTCATTTGGGGGTTGTTTCCTTGGTTCCTCATTTTGGTTGTCTGTTTGGGTTTGTGACTAAGTTTTAGGTAAATCTTCTACACCTCTCAATCTCTAGTGTTTAATGACAGTGTTAAAGGCTGTTTCTGACTAATTTGATCAGGTAAAGACTCAAAGCCTCCAGAGACTGCCTTTTCCTACCGACTAATAGGATTCTGACTTGAATTGCTCCCAGGCAATTGTCCTTAGGTATGGTGAGAGTTTTGTTTTGTTTGTTTGTTTTAACAGAGTGGGCAGTTGCTTCTGCCTGGAGGCTGTTACTTTTAATCTCTTAAGTAGCCTCAGGACAAGGTATTTTCAATAGGTTGTGTTCATTTTTCCCCCCAGGCAAGGCAGATGTCTATGTGGGAAAGATGTCCTCCCTATGTGAGGGAATGACTCAGCCCAGGAAACTTGGGGTGTCTGCTTTCTGAGCTCTATCTCCTGAGTCCCCAGTCCTGGGTTTTGATCTCATGGCTCTAGTCACTTCACCCTCCCTCTGCCAGAGCAGAAGGTGAGTGGCTCCACAGGGAATGTTTGTGCATTGGCCCTTCAAGAGGGTGCCCAAACTTTCAGCTGCCACTCCCTGGCAGACTGCACCTCACTGCTTTTCACAACAAATGTTATGTGGGTACCCTTCTCAGTTTGGTGCTTTCTGCTGGGGAGCCCTGCTTGTGGATTAATCCCAGAGTTCTCAGTAGCACCCCTCCCCCAACAGCTTAGATATATTTCTGGGGCTTCGGTTGCTGTCTGTGGGTGCCTGGCCAGCCCTTTCATGCCTCCACCCCTCCTACCAGTCTCTATGTGGTCTTCACCTTTAGTCCTTGGGTTCTCAGGGTTCTCTCCTGTGAGTTTTCCATTGATTATTCAGGAAGCCTTTCTGTATGTCAGTTGTAATTCCAGCTTTTTCCTGGGAGCATGTCCATGCAGCATCTTCCTACTCTGCTGCCATTTTTAATTTCCCATGTCTAATCTTAAGGGGACTGTTTTTAGAAAAAAAAAAACAATAATAAGAACACCTACCTCTTATCCCACACTCTTAAAGACATGACTACATCCTTGGGTCCAAATTCCTCATTTTCATTCTTGATGGGATGGTGACCTTGGCTAGTTCTTTTATCTTCTAAGGCTTAATCTCCCCATTAATAAGATTAGTATAGTACTATAGCCCTTATGGATTTTCAGTAAGAATTACATGAAATAACTTATGTGAAGTGTCTAAAACAGACAAAAACTTAGTAAGTAGAGTGTTGTTATTATGATTATTTTTATGTCTTCTTGAATACTGATTTAATAGGTCATATTTAACTTATTTATATAAAAGAATATCGGGAAAAAACTTAAAGAGTCTGATTTTCAACTATGATTTTTTTAAAAAGAACCTTACATAATTGAACTTTTTAATTTCTTGTAATGTTATATGCTGAACTCCAAATTTTGTTCTCAGATGCACCAAAGACTACAAAACATCCTTTGTTAATGATGGGAAAGAAACAGCTTCTTCATAAACAAGACTTCATCATTCAAGAGTTTATAGATTTATGTCCAGATCTATGATTTAAAAAAAGAGAAAAAGCCTTTCTTTAGAGTTAGAAATGTTTCTCAAACCACTATAGAAAAACAATTATGATTCTCCACTTTTTGTTTTTATTGCTGGGTTTAAAAGGATGACTCTCTACAATGCCAACACCAGGAGGATATTATTTCACAAATAAGAGCCCAGCATGACATTTATGAGAAAGCTGGGGTCCTCCTGTGAAAAGCTAATTGGTGCTTAGCCAATGGGCTCCGGGCATTGCTGGGCTTATCAGACACAGAGAAGAGGGTTGCCTGTACCTGCGGAACTTCAGAAAATACTCACTTCTTGTCCTAGCAGGACACATCTGTAGCCATCAAAGAGAAACCAGAGTTTAAAGATGAAGTATCTTCCCCAATTCCCTTTCTTCTTGGCCATCTATTGCTTCTGCCTGCTACAGCATCCCTCCTCAGGTAAGGGACCCCTTCATCTTAGTTGGCCTGAGCTCTAAGGAAGACTGAGATGATCCTTGATTCTTCTGGAAGAAGGCAAACTTTATTCCCCCACCTGCCCCTATTTCCACCCTTTCAATTTCTGTCTCTAACCTTTAAGAGAGGGTGAACAGAGCTAGGTATCAAAGCCTTTTACTAAAGCAGGCAACTTTCACTCGTTGGTCTCACACAGCTCCTGCCGCTGTCCTGAGGATGTGCCTGCTGAAACTGCGAGAGAAAGGACTTGGGGAAATCCCAATTTCTTAGGAAGAGAACTAGAGACTGTAGAATTGAGATTACAGGCTGGAGATTAGGGGCAGTTGGAGAGGGCTGGGGTAGGAGTGCTCACAGGAAAAGGGAATTTTTCATAGCCTTGTGGGCTCCCAGGAGGCAGGACCCTGAAACTCCAGAGGAGGTCCCGCTGCTTCCAGGTTGAGGCATTGTCCGAGGTGCTGACTGGGGTCGCTTCATTAACTGCCTAGAACCAGCGGTTTGTAGGGAACCAGTGCGTTTGTATGGGGAGTAGTCTGAATCCATTACCCCTCTCAGGTAACTCTCCGTATGATGCAGGGAAAGATGTGGTGGCAGAACAGCGGGGCTGTAAACACGAAATGTTTAGAATTTCGATTTAGGGGAGTAGAAATCTTTGAAAATATATTTCAAACTGTATGTGTGTTTTTTAACTGTGTCGTATAATCACAAAACCTAAGTATTTCAAGGAACTGTGAAAGTCACTTGATTAGCCTCTTATAGAGAACAAGGATTTCCTCTGTGATTTTCCTATGTGATAACTCTGTAAAACCCGGTGCACTACCAGCCTGAGATAGCGAGTAGCTGCTTCCTTTGGGCTCCAATAGAATCTTGTTTCTATTACACTTTTGTACATTTATTGTCTTTTATATATCTGTATGTATTTATAGCCACCTCCTTCATTTTTTCTGTTTGATTTCATGTTCCCTGAGGATATGGTCCCTATGGTCTTTGTGGTTATATTGATAACACAGAACCTATTAATAATTCTTTATAGGACTGGTTTGAATTAATTTGCATTTTTGAATGGCACCAACCATCAAGAACTTCTTTACACTAAACTGAAATCTGATCACATGTAACTTCTAACCATTAACCCTAGCTCCTTCCTTTGGAGATGTACAGAATAAGTCCAATAACTCTCAGGACAGTTCTCAATATATTTGGAGGTAGTTAACATATGCTTCCTAATTTTTCTCTTTGTCAAAGAAAACTATGTTTGGCTCCTTTTATTCTACCACACATCGTACTATTTCAAGTAGGGCTATTACCTTTCAAGGCTTGGATACTATTATTTGAATATAGCACAAGATTGCCTTAGTTTTTAGCTTTTTCTTGACTCATAGAAAGATTTCAGGGAGCAAAATACCAATTTTTCATCTAAAAATATATATTCTACTCTTGGGCCAGATATTTCTTTTCTCATATTTAAAAATCTAAGTTCAGAGTTTTGTATTTATCTCACTTAATTTCATCTGGTTAGTTTTGACCTATTTAGTTGATTCTTCCAATTGCAGTATTAGCTATTCCTCCAAGTGTTCTATCACATGAAAATGAGATGAAGACTTCATTTAGGTCAGGTACAAATTGGCTGGCACAGGGTCCATCTGCATGTTGATAGCAACATTCCTACAGCCCTGCCCCTGAGGAGTCTAATGAAGCACAGAGCCAGGCATCCATATTTCTTAAATGTTCCCAAAGTGATTTTGATGCACGTACTTGACACCATTTCCTGGTATTTCATCTTCATAAATTCCATCAAAATATAAATTAAGTTGTTGTCTAGGCATTTTTGCCCTTTTTCTGACTTGATAATTCTTGTACTGTTAATTCCTGATAAATAGAAAATTAAGTTATTTCAATTAATTTTGGTGCAAATCTCATGTTTGCTAGTGGCAGGTAAAATGTTGTTTTCTTTGTCAATCCTTTTTAACAGCATTGCATTTATAGAATTTCTGTATGTTTTTTATGGGAAAGATTTAAAAATTAATGCTATGACTTCTTTTATCCTAATTGATATTTTTATGATGTCTCACAATAGGATATATTCAAGCTTTAGATGATTCTCCAGATGGCGTGGATACTGTGCAGCTGGAGGTACACTGTTGTTCAGTAACGAGAGGTTTTTATTTAGTGTTGGCCTTGAAAATATCATGTGGGTAATGTTTACTTAAAACTATTTTAAGAACAGAGTCTTGGCTGCAGCAGGACTCACTATTGTCATTTTCATGGCCTCATTTAAGACATCCTGAAAATTGTGTTGAAATGTATTGCCACTGTGTAAGAAAATAATACAAGGCTCATAAATGGGACAATTTTAGGATTATATGTGTTGTAATAAAATGCTATGGATTAATGAATTTATACTTAATTTTGATTCATTTTCCTCATTTTTTAGCGACTGGCATATTGGGCAACTCTTTCTAGTCAACCTAAGGTAAAGAAAAAAAAAATCCATCCTAATATGATAAATTTTAATTATAATATGTTTATGCCATAATTGATATCTGTAATAACTGCACTGTTTTGCTACCTACAAGAGAATTTTATGTGTGTTTGTGTAAGAATATAGTTTTAGGAAATAACAACTGAATCTCTTAAATAATTTACTGTAAGATTTTTGTAGTTCATCTGCATTCTTACAATTAAAATAATCACATATGGATATCTAATTAATTTAATTGAATATGTTGTCTTATAGCAGCGTTTTTCAACCGCTGTTCCGCGGCACACTATGTTGCCTGGTGTGCCGTAGGTGCAGACAAGACAAGAATTTTATAATTTTTCACTATTTTGTTTACTTAATATTTCATAATAAAGTAATTATAAAATACTTTCTTTGTGTTTATTTGATTCCTAGTCAAGAGAATTACTTTATATATAGTCAATATAGGCACAGAGTTAAATTTTTTAACATTTTCTAATGGTGGTGTGCCTCGTGATTTTTTTCATGAAACAAGTGTGCCTTTGCCCAAAAAAGGTTGAAAAACACTGTCTTATAGCATAACATGAATTACAAATTGAATACTGTGATTTGACAGTTCTCCAAAACAATAGATTTCATGTAAAGAACTTATGGTAGCCACAACAGAAATATTTCATTGGGTACAAAGTAAATGTTGATTTATTCTAAAATGTAAGAGAGTGGTATCAAGGAAGAGCCCATGATTCTTAGGATCGACTATATGGTTTTTACTTTTTCTCTTCCTCCTCTACCTCTTCTAACTCACAGTATCCAATGCTCCAGCCACAGTGAACTTCTTACTATTTCCTAAGGCACCAGGCCCTTATGTCTTTGTATAGGCCTTTCTTTAGGTAAAATGCCTTTGCCTCCTTTGCCGGCTGTAGTTAATATCCCAGACTCTAAAGCCAAAGCTCAAAACCCACATCTATTTAACCTTAGTAGGTGTCTTAATTGCTCTGTGTCTCAGTTTCACCATCTGTAATATGGGAATAATAGCTGTAATAGCCTCATAATATTATGTAAGTAATGCTCACTTATATTATTTTTATAATTGTGAAGTATTTTCAACAGTATCTATAAGATAGACAGTGCAAGCTGTTATCATTGGTTTTTTTTCCCATTTATCTTTATTGTTGAAAGTGTTACAGATGTCCTCTTGTCCTCATATTGATTCTTATTCCCCCCCCATTGATTCTTAATTAAATGAATTTCCATTTTTCAAGACTGTAACATCATGTTCTCTCTTAAACTTCCCAAGTATATGGTGCCCATCTCTTCTCATTTTCAGTTTACCATTATGCATATGTTTGAAGACAATTGTCATCTCCCATCTTTAGAACTAATCATTACAAATTGATACCCAGAGCAAAAATCCAGGGTAAGAGCTCTCCATCTCCTTGCCGCTGCCTTCTCATTCACATCGAAAGGACTTCCTTACCCCTCACACCAAGGCTGTGGGGGTGCCCCTTCATAAGCACAGGAAGTACAAGTGTGGCTGTCACATATACTACCTTCAGTACTAAAGTGGGCTGTGTGATTCCCCAGTTGCAAAGGTCCACTTGGATCAATTTCCTTCCATTGTCTGCATTTTCCCATAGCTGATCCAGTTCATTGTTTCTAATTGCAAAAGAGCAAGGCATTGCTCGGTGAACACAACTACCAATATTTTACTAGAGAAAGCTATTAATGAGAGACTGCGGCCGAAATCGGTTTGGCTCAGTGGATAGAGCGTCGGCTTGCGGACTGAAAGGTCCCAGGTTCGATTCCAGTCAAGGGCATGTACCTTGGTTGCGGGCACATCCCCAGTAGGGGGTGTGCAGGAGGCAGCTGATCAATGATTCTCTCTCATCTATGTTTCTAACTCTCTATCCTTCTCTCTTCCTCTCTGTAAAAAATCAATAAAATACATTTTTTTAAAAAAAATTTTAATAAAAAAATAGACTGCAACTCTTCTGCCTTGAAGTGTAGCTTTCAACATGTCACTTCCTCTCCTGGGCTTTGGCTTCCTCTCCTACCCAGTGTCTGCATGTCTTGTGCGGCTCTAAGTCCCCTCCAGTGCTGGTCTCCAGGAGAGTCCCATCTGTGTCTCTAGGAAACTTTCATACAAGGCCACTCAAAAAGCATTACAACCTGGGAACTGCAGCACTCTTGGTGTTTTGTGCTTGTCACTATGTGGGATCAGAAGAATTTAAATGGGAAAGGGGGCAACAGATTCTTATGAACACAGCCCTACTATTCATCCATTTGAAAAAGGTATTTTTTAAAGCATGCCATGTGCCAGGAGCTAAGGATATACAGTAGTGATCAAAATAGACAAAACTACCTATTCTCATGGAACTTATATTGTAGTTAGGAAAATAAATAATTTAGATAAGTACACTTAAACTTTTTTAGAATAAAAGAAAAGAGAAAGGAAGGTGCATATAAAATGTTGAGAGTGGTGTTTAGCAACTGAAAAAAAATCTTTGTATTTCTTTGTGTGTGTGTGTGTTGTTGTTGTTGTTTTGTTTGTTTTTTGTGGGTTTTTGGTGGGTTTTTTTGTTTGTTTGTTTTGTCTAAAAGGTAATGGTAAAAAGTTGATAAACTTGATACCAAAAAAGCACACAATTGTTCACCCAGTACGTTTTCAGAACACACACACACACACACACCACAGCAAACAGATGCTGACAATGAGACCAAAAACTATAAAATAATAAATGGTAAATTTTAGAATTTATAATAAAGAAATAGAGGAACTCACCACAGAACCTCTGCTATTAATGATGTTGGAATTATATGGGGTGTGCAAAGTAGGTTTACAGTTGAAAGGACAAGAAACACAGGGTCTATTCTTATATTTTTATTAATTGTATTATTTTCCACATGAACAACTGCAAACCTACTTTTCCCACCCCCTATAGTATATGTGCTGCCAAAGCGAGCACTTTTCCCACCCCCTATAGTGTGTGTCTGTGCCCATAAGTATGTAGGTGCATGTATGTACATGACAGAGAGAGAATGCATAGATATTGGCTGCTGCAGAAATTCTCCACAAAGTTTATAGAGAGATGTAATCATATTCAGAGCCACAAAATTAGAAGTACAATATTATTAAAAACTTCTTATTTCTGTGTTAATGGAGTTTAAGCTGATTCAATAATGTTTAAATGTGAATGAGATATGAATGATCAATAGCAGCCAGATAAACATATTTAAAAGTGCATTCACAGTAATCATCTCTAGCAATTTTATAAAATACAGACATGGAATCCTGTGCTAGCACTTTGTGAGCGCCCTCTTCACAGCATCCTTGAGTGGAATATGCTGCCCACACAGCTTTTTCCAGGTTGTCATCTATGCAAACAAGGGCAGGTGGTGCTCTAACAAGGACTTAGAATGAAAAACTATGCTTTGTGCAAGAACAGTGAAGATTCATGTTGAATGTTTTAGGGGGAAAAGGTTTGATCAATTCAAACCAACCATTTAAAAAGCTGAACTCTAGGATATACCCAGCAGCAAATTAAAAATTGCAATCATTATTTTGTTCCAGTTCTTATCAGATGGTTATCTGGGAATAGATTCTTGTATCTCTTCTAGGCATCATAGAGTATGTTTTCCCCTTAAGCTTGAAAAGGTAAAATGAGATTAAGTTTTAAAATAATGATATATTGCTGCCAACTTTGTTTTTCATAAGATCCTGCATCACTATAATCTTATTCAGTTTGTGTAATGAATTTCTTTTTAGCTTGGCAATTTATTTCATAATATTAAGGTAAATCCTATATATCTCATGGTGTAACTTATCCTGAAAACTTTGTCAGTTACCTGCCACATAAAATTCCATGTAACTTGCCCTCACAATTCTCTTTCCAGGATATTCGAGACATATACAAAAGGGTGAGTACTGCCCAGCCCTGTAGCAAGGGCATGCAGCTTCTACTTTTTGTAGCAAGTGACACAATACTAAAATGAACCTTTTTTTGTTTTTCTTATTCAGTTTCTATTTGACTACTCCAGAGCTCAGGAGACAACACAGCCAGTTAACACTGGGGTCGGTATTGTATCGTAATCGTCTTTGTAAAAGTCCCTCCCCTCTGCATGCCTTTATTGCTTCCTAATTAATGCGTGCGGGTCAGCAGAAGGCCTGAGACACTCTCTCTGTAACAGCTTCCCCGACGCCTTTCCCAGGCCGGTAGGGACTACATGTCTCTCTCCCTCGGTGGGAGTGGGAGGAGGCTGACAGATCTAGAAAGATAGAGAATAAATTATAGAAAAGGAAACGTAAGTAAGAAATCACTTTTCGTGATGCATTTAAACAGATGTACAAGAAGAACCTGACAAACGGAACTCTATTTATATTGTTCCGCATTACCCTCTGTTCTTAAAAGTATGAAAAGTGTCTTGTGACATGTAAAGCACCCTATCCCCCAATAGTGGTCCATGGATGTTCTTTTTTCATAACAGACACAATGTGTGGGTGCTGTTCAAATAATAAACATCACCTCTAACTTTATTAGCATAAACTTGAGTTATCCTCAGGTACAGATTGTGTAAGTGAATTTCTGAAGGGTATGATTTGAGAATTATTAAAATCATAGAATAAAATTAATTCAGGTGCCCTGTCACAACAACTGAAATTTGACCATTAGAAAGTCACTTATTTATGTAATTAAGGCTTCCCAAGTCTTCAGGAAGACCCTTAAGAAAAACAGCAAAGTATTTTTTTCTCCTCAGAGGCAAAGATTCACAAGTAGTACAGGTTTGGGGATGGGAATCAAGGAATGACGGGGATTTTCTCACGAAAAGCCTTGGGCACTGCAAGGGGGAGGGAAGGTGCAATGAAAGGGGGAAAATAAACATGGTCTGTGACACCAATTAAACTTGACTCTGAGTCACACTTCTCAGGAGGATTCAGAAAGACCAGGTAAGACACAGGTGTGTCTGAGAGCCGGTGGGGAGTCACAGACAAGAAGTCTGGGAAAATAAATGCCTCCGGGAGAGAGGGTCCGGGTGCTGTCCTCCCAGATGGTCCCTTAGGTCAGGAGAGCACAGCTGGAGGGCAGAAGGACCTGCGTGGAGATGCTTCTTTGGAACAGTGCACTCCACACCAGAAGCACGGAAAACTTGGGGCCAATGCAGCTCAGAGTCTGGTTTATCCTAAGGGAATGTTTTAAGAGATGTGTTGGAATTGAAACCTGCTACCCAAGCAGGCGCGTCTTTATTGAAAACATAAAATTCCAAGCTCGGGTTCAGAAAGGATATTACTCTGAAAATTAAACCCATTTGTAAGGGAGGGAGTGGAAAGGATGCGGATAACGCTGGGCTCTGGCCCCGCCGACTGGAGCCTCAGGGCGCCCATCTGTTGCAGTTTCCTCCGGGGCGCCCTTCCGTGCGGCTGGCCGCCTCTCTCGCCGAAGGAAAGATGAGGAGATTTCTACAGCGCGTATGTGCTTTTTTTCTTCCGCCATATTTCATGCCGGTAAAGGTCCATTTAACTAGGGTATATGCGTGTCTTCGCCTCGGAACGGGCTTGCATTCTCTCCTCAATCTATGTCTCCCTGCGGGAGGGAGCTCTGGCCCATTGACCCCACACAAGTTAATTAACCTCCCCCAGCCACAGCCTCCTCCACTGGAACCATCCATGGGCCCCTCATGGCTCCATCCTCTCCTCTGCTGACCTCTTCATCCACACTTTTGTTGTTGTTAATCCACTGGAGGGTATTTTTTCCATTGATTTTTAGAGAGAGTGGAAGGGAGGGGGAGAGACAGAGAGAAACATTCATGCAAGAGAGACACATTGATTGGTTGCCTCCCCCACGAACCCGCTATCAGGGACACAGACTGAGCTGCAACCGAGGCATGTGCCCTTGATTGAAATCGAGGCCGGCCTGCACTCTGTCCACTGAGCCAAACTGGCCAGAGCTTCATCCACGTTTTTTGTTTTGTTTTAGCTTTTGTGTTGTCTGCCACCTTTCCTGTCCCTTCTCTTCCTCTTGACATGAACATTTGCCTTGGTGGCCCTCTGTTTCCCATTGCCCTACCCACCCTTTTGTCCATATCTCAGAGCTTTGTTTTTGTCTTCATGGGGGGGGGGGGGGAGAAATAAGTTTAGAAATTGCCAGTTTCAGTAATAGTTGAACCTCAAAATCTTCATCAAGGTTTGTTGCATGGTAGCAAAAAGAAAACTTCTTTTGAACACTGTGAGCCCAAGTCAGGTGACCAATGCATCCCAGGATGCACAGGACTTACCTGGTTTTATCTCCGAAAATTCCAAGATCCTCAGGAAACTACTCAGTTCCTGAGAAATCTATTTGTCATCCCAAGCACAGGGAGCAGTTTTTCTGATCTGACCACAGCTCTCCAGGCTGGGTCTTGCCTGCAGGGTTATGCCAGAGTCACAGGCAAAGACAAGCTGAAGAAGCTGAAATGCCTTATCTGGGATATGTGTCTAAACCAGGGGTCAGTTTCAAGTTGAGGCTGTTGAGAAGAGCAAGCAAATATAACATTGTCCAGGACACAAATGGTAACTTAATCAATAAAGCATGCTTGCTTTCCTGAACAGGAAATTGAAACTGACCACATACCTGTGCCCTTGAACAGGGAGGTGCAGAATCCCAGCAAATAACAGCTAGCCTCACGGATGTGGTCCCTGTGAAATTAACCTGTGTCTTTTCCTTCACAGGATTCGGGGGCTGTGGCACCTGACTTTACCAAGAAGGTATGTGAGCCTTGCGGAGAACACAACCTCCCAAGAAAGATCTGCGAGAGGGAAGTACTTGGGACACATTGACAATCCTCTGGCTGTGGGTATCTCATCTCCAGTCTTGTGGATGCGTCACCTGGGGCCATCTGTCCTGGAATTGGCCTTCTCTGGCTCAGGGCCCCCATGCCAGTGTACAACTTGGGGAGGTACTGCAAGTGGCACAGACCCTATATACCTGTGCTTCTCTGCTTTGACAGCGCATTAAAGATATCTGGGGACCTTGTCAAAGTCTGGAGATTCAGTAGGGGCCTATGACTGTGTATTTCTTACAAGTTGTCAGGTGTTATTAATGCTTTGGGACTGGGGACCACACTTTGGAAACTGCTGTCAAGACATCTTTGAGAGGCCTTGGGCACAACATGGTTGCATAATGGTTTGTGTTTTTATGTTGTAGGATCACGCTGCTACCCGGGGACGACCATTTTTTCTTTTCAGGGTACAGCATGTTTCTGTTTTTAACCCTGACTCCCTCGTGTTGAATGAGCAGAGCGGGCCCCACGATGAACTGGTGAACAATGGTGGGGACTCTAACTCTTTAGTTAGGGGGTAACCCTCAAAGTTTTCTCTACAGAGTCAGTGCTTGTAAAGGAAAGAGTCCACCAGGACACAGGCTGAGAGCACCAGGGCGCTGGGAGCACAGGGTTGGGAAGTGGGGGTTCTAGTGATGGACAGACAGGAGGGCCAGCCAGAGTCGGAGCCTGTGTTTCTGAACATGAAGGTGTGGATACCTGGCTCCAAAACACTCTGGCAAGAGGAGCCTAGTGCCATCCTCTCCTCCTTCCCAGGGGACTTGAGCCTCTTGCAAAGATCATGGAGCCGGAGAGTTCTCTCTTGGTATTTGACCTGCCTATCACCCGCTTTGTTTCAACCCCTAAATACTCAATGTTCGCATCAGAAAAATGTGCAAATCAGCCAGACTTGTACCTCTCAAACTGCATTCTGTGGGCCATTGGTGCTAAGAGTTGCTATGCAAAGATCAAATCAGATTAGAAAACACTGCACCCACCATTCCTGAAGATTTACAATGCACACTGTGTCCGGCAGAAAACAACCTGTTTAACTTGAGTTTATTGTATGTTGTTTCCCAAACTGTTCTGGCTATGGAAATGCTTCTCAACCCTCATGCCACCCCACATACACCTTTTTAATCTGCATGATCTGTTAATAGTTGTTCTCTGGAAAGTACTTTATGAAACAGTGGGTCTCAATGATGTCTTTAGGGTGAGAAGTCCTGTGACAAATAGGTTGAGGACTGTCCTGCTACATAAACAGAGGCTAAAGGGTGGAGTGAAGGAGGGGGGACAGTGTCTGGCTAGAGTGGTGGAGTGCAGACAGTCTAAGCAGTAGGGTCTTGGAGCTCTGCCATAGAGGACCTACAGACTGAGACAGGGCTGAGGCTCACCCAGTGAGCCCCCCAGGAGGTCACTGACACCTTAGTTAGGAGAACAGGGCCTTAGGGCTCATGAAGAAAGAATCTGAAACCAAGAAACAGGTTCTGGACAGCTTTGTTCCAATGTTTCTAAGTTGCTCCTTTTTTTATTTTATTTTTTCCAGCCAAGGAATGGAAGAAACACTGAACACCCAGTAGGATAGACCAAGGTCAGTCCATTACAACTTTTTACTCCAAGGAAATGTTATGAGTCTGACAGGGGGTAGTGAGAGGCAGCCAGAGGGGTGATAGTACAAAGAAAGGAGGGCCACATGGAACTCTTGAGGACCTTCTGCCCCATCCCCTTTCCTGCTCTCAGCACCACAGAGCCCCCATTCCAGCCAGCCCTGGGCAAACACTGCAGCCTTCACTTCACGCTGGCTCTTTGCAAGGGAGCTGTCTTTGGCTGCCTGTGAGGGGCTGGACGCTCCACTTGGCCCATCTGACTCTCTGTGAATTCTCACCTGGCTCTTCTAATGAGGAAAAAAAACTACCCTGGGGTGCTTGGGGCAATGTTTAAGCTCCCTAGAGTGGAAACATTACAGAGTACAGCCAGACAAGGCCATTCCTTCCATTCAATGATGCTCAGAGTTTCCATCTGGGGAGATTCCTGGTCTTCGGCCTGTGGAAGCAGACATCCCTGTACAAGGTCTCCTCTGCCTCTCCTGTTGATGTGGTCCCAGGAACATGAGGTCACAGTCCTGCAGAGGCAATGCATGTTCCCACCTGGAACCTGATCCTGACCTGCTGGCCGTGGTCAGGGCCCCAGAAGGCCCAGGTGCCTGAGAAAGCTGCCCAGACGCCGGGTAACAGAGCTGCCAGGTAAAAAGGAGAAGGTATTCCTAGAGTCACAGCACTCACACATAGTTAGTGGTCTAATTAGGTACAGAGCAAACACAGACCTTAGAAGTATCGACTATGGGCATTTAGGACATGTCAAATTGAGGTGTACTTTTAAAATATGCTATGTAATAACATGCCCATGGTCTCATCTCAGTTCTGAGAATGAATTCATCTGAGTTGTATGTTTTCTTTCTTTTTTCTTTTTCCAGAGTTCAGTGGCAAAGGGAAGCTGGATCAGATGAAGCAACCCAGCAATTATTCTGGGCAAATGTCAAATTTCTTCTTATGAACAATATGAAAAGACAATTCTCTTGCTCTATATTCACTGAAATTTTCAGTTGTATAAAGAATAAAATAGCATTGACACATTTTCATTTCTTATTGGAAAATCTTGGGGGAAGGATCAGTGTATATTTAAAGTAATGGGATTTTTCTTTTTTTTAAAGTACTTTTTGGGATATCATTTTAGCATGCCCCAACTATCTTGTTATTATTGAGAACTGAGCACACAAGCTTGAGAGATGGGCTGTTTTCAAATCCTTACTCTACTTTGTAGTTGGGGTACCTTGGGCAGGTCACTTTCTACCCCTGTGCCTCAGGCTCTGGTAAAATGGAGTTGGTAATAATGGCTCCTACACATAGTTTGTGTGATGATTGAAGAGCTGGTCCATGTAAAGGGCTTAGCATGAAGGTGCATAGTGACCATTCAATTGTGTTGATTCTAATTATACTTCAAAGATGATTTTCATCACACAAATGGTATCAAAGGGACTTACCCTAATGAGAGCTACTTCTAATTGCTGACCAGGGGCCAGAGGTCACAGCATTAAGTAATGCATAACAACTCAAACTCCTTAAGGAACCATAAGGCCCAGGCCATTAGCTTCTCATGCTCCTCCTCTATAAATAGTATTTGACATCGAGACTCCTCAAGATCATGTGAAGGAATAGACAGCGATGCAGAAGACAGGCACACAATGCAATGAGGGGCCCTAATGATACATGCATATAACAGTCTTTTAAGGCACTAAAGTGGGTGCTTTTATTATATTTACCTTCACAGTCCTGTAAAGTAGTGTATTATAGTAATGTTAGTTGCTACACAAATAAACCTCAGAGTCTTGGTGGCTTGGCTTAGTATAATCTTTTTCCCCAAAAAATGGAGTGAAAAATTGAATTAACTTCCTGGATATATGTTTCATTATTATATCATTCAAGTAACTAATCTTACTTTTACTTGTATTATAGAAAACATATTTGCCTAATACAATAGTAAAATAAACATTATTCTAACCTTTTCCCCCAAAAAAAATTTTGATAAATAGATGGAAATATAATAATACATCTTGTTTGTTTAAAAGCTTTACTGAATTTTAACTCTACAAATATTTATTCAGTTGGGTCTTAAAATAGCCAATACTTTATACTGTTCAGTAATGAAATATTTATAGAAAAACTGCCTTTCGCACATTTAACAGTTATATCCTAAGGCTTGGCCCCAATACTTCCTCATATATAAAGAAGTTTGATGCCTTCTTGTGAACACTTCACCATTTCTTTTTGCCTCATTATTTTTTATTAAAGTACTTATAAATTGGTAATACTTTTTTGGTTAGATTTTCACCATTTATCTAAAATACTAGCAGCCTGGTGCACAAAATTCATGCACTCAGGAGGGCCCCTCAGCCCAACCTGCACCCTCTTGCAGTCTGCGAGTCCTTGGGGGATGTCCGGTAGTCAAACATCCTTAGTGATGCTACAGAGGCAGGAGAGGCTCCCGACACCACTGCTGCGCTCACCAGCAGTCAGCTGGACTCATGGCTTCTGGCTGAGCGATGCCTCCTATGTGGGAGTGCACTGGCCACCACAGGGAAGCTCTTGCCTTGAGCGTCTGCCCCTAGTGGTCAGTGCACGTAATAGCAACCAGTCATTTGGTTGATTATTATATAGGACTAGAAGCCCATTGCATGAATTTGTGCACAGATGGGGTCTGGCCAGCCTGGCCCTGGGGAGGGGCACAAAGGGAGTTGGCCAGCTGCCCCACCCTTGATGGGGTGGGAAAGGCTATTGGGAGTGGGGCTGGCCTGGGGAAGTTGGCTGGCTATCCCCTCCCCAGATGAGGCCAGTTTGCTGGCCCCAGAGGGCATCATAGCAACTAGTCGGTCAGATCTTTACAGCATTCCACTCACTGGCTTTTTAGATAGATAGATAGATAGATAGATAGATAGATAGATAGATAGATAGATAGATAATATAATAGATAGATAAACTCCTTAAGAAGAGAGCAGGCATGAAAAATTATGTATTTTCATATTGACTAAGAAACAAAAACCTTATAGAAGACAAATTATAACACATGCCACTGAATCAGTAGAAGGTAAGCAGAAATCTGAGGCAGGAGATGATACTGATTTCATATTTGCTAAGTACCTGTAAAGAAATTATATTTCTATGAACCAACCACTTATAACTCTCTGATAGAATTAATGAAATATAATCCCTCCCCTTTCTTTCATTTCTACAAAGAAAATACTTTTTTCTGAGGTGTATTATTAAAATAATGTTAATCCTGAATTTCAGTGTACATAAAGGCCAAACAGTTGTCTTTCTAGGAAAAGAAGATTGCTACAAGATTGAAAGAATCATTTGATAGATTAATTTTAGAGATCAGATATGTAATAACAAGTAGTTTGGGCTTAAGTTTTAGAGTTACTTTAACACATGCTTTAAACTTTATAGCCTTACAATATTGATTTAATTAAAGTAATTCTGTTCATTGAATACATTTATTTTCATAGGGATTGGATAATGTTTTACTGTAACTCTTCATTACATACATCTCAAAAGTTTTATTAACTGAAAGCTTCATAAGCTGTCACAAATGTTATGTAGAGACTCTTAAAATGTAATTTAAATTTTATACATTATGTTTAGAATATTCAAACTTCATTTTAGTGACCCAGTTGACAATATCTATAAATTTTTAACTCTTAGAAACCAAAATCAAAACAAAACATTCTAGATTAAATGCTTAAAAGTTATATTACTATGCTATATAAATGTAAATGCTTGTATATATGGAATTTCATTTTTATGATGTTTATATTTATAGGGGTCATTAATGCCACTACAAAAGCCCTAAGTTGCATGCCTAGCACAGAAGCCACATTTCTTTCTCTTTTTTTTAAATATATTTTATTGATATTTTACAGAGTGGAGGAAGGGAGAGAGATAGAGAGCTAGAAACGTCGATGAGAGAGAAACATCGACCAGCTGCCTCCTGCACACCCCCTACCGGGGATGTGCCCGCAACCAATGTACATGCCCTTGACCGGAATCGAACCCGGGACCTTTCAGTCCGCAGTCCGACGCTCTACCACTGAGCCAAACCGGTTTCGGCAGAAGCCACATTTCTTTTCTCTTTTTCTTTCTTTCTTTTTTGAGTGAAAACTCTGAATTTAATGTGATATTGGGGAGCCCCATTTTTCACTTTCTATCACTCACTCATCGGACCTATTGTGAGTTGGGTGAAGACTGCCCCCAGTCAGCCTCTTTGGTCTGTCTCTGAATCTCCTTCTCGCCTATTCATAGAGTGCTTGTTTTCACTCCTGTAGGCTTTCCAGTGGGCCCAGGAGGACGTGGCAAATGTTATGGCTGTGGGCTGAGGGCTCCCCAGGCCAGGGCTGGGGAACTGAGGAGATGCAATGTGCAATCATCATAAATGCCTATTGTGCCAAAGAGGCACTGTGGTAGGGTCTTGGAGGCAGAGGTAAGGGAGGAAACTGGGTCCCCTTAGGGATGTCTTCAGGTATGAAAGCTATATACTCCCTCAAGTATATTGCCGAAGGTCAAGTCTACGCAGCCAGTCCTCGCTGACTGGGGCGGCAATCTAGGGTGTCTTTGTCGCTTCAGGTGCTTTGTTCTGAATGCTAAAGTGAGTCATGTCCCCATCTGGCCCAATTCTTGGGCCACCAGCTGTTGTACATGGAGGGAACTCCTCATTCCCCTCCCCCAGCTAGCAATGAGCAGGACGCAGCCACTTGATACCCCATGCAAGATACAAATAGTGATCACAGCAGTTCTGAGACCCACTAGGCATGTGACACCTTCACAGAGACTAGTCTCTGGACTCCAAAAGTAAGAGGCTATACAACATCCTGGATAGAAAATGGTCAGGAAGGTGTTACAGCTAGGGAGGTTGACTATGTTGTGATTGAAAGGTGTCAGGTAGTTGGAAATGAGGACCCTGAGATGGTGATCCCTGAGTCTCTAGTCCTGCCTGGCCAGCCCCAGCACCACACATTTCACACCACCAACCTGTGAACGACACTGTCCAGCAGTGCACTGCTGAATCGGAAGACACAGATGCAGGACAAGGAGGCTGGACCTGATGGGCACGTAAAGTAACAGTGTGAGGATGGGCTCCGGAGCCACAAAGGGAGGCTCCATGGAGGTTGCTGCAGGGACGCCTACAGGCCATATTTCCACTTGCCACAGGTCAATCCATTCAGCTCTCACATGGTCCACTGCAAATTCTCCTAGTTTAATTCAGAGCAGAGTCCAAGTTTCTTTCTACATTGTAGTCTCTGCCCAGGATGGGCTCAATGAACCTCCCCACCCTCTCCAGACACTGATTGAATTGGGAAAAAGAAGATGCTCTCAGGAGCGAGGGTTTTATGGGCCAGGCCTTCCTTTTTAGTAGAACTCTGTCTCATAACCATGTCTGACTGGAAAGGAGGCTGGAAATGTCACCTTGCTGTGTGGCCTGGAGGAAGAGAGGCAGATTTGGTGAATAGCTGGTCAGTCTCTACTGTAGTATTAATATAAATATTATCCTTAGGGTGCAATGAAACTGACACTCAAAGAAATCAAATATTTGCCCAAGGTCTTTCACTAAATGTCAAGGACACAATTCAAACCCCTGGCGCAACTGATTCAATATCTGTGGCTCTTCACCAGTACAAGCTATCTCCCAGGGACAGTTAGCCTTTGGCTGGGGGCAGCAGTGGAATGGGATAAGGGTACACTGTTGAACTGTACATGAAATCAAAGCAACAAGCCCTGCTACCTGAGCCTTGACTTGTTAGGTAGAGATTGATGTTCTCAGTGCCAGATCAGAGGGAAGTAAGAGTTCACCCTAACCAAGCAATGCAAGGCAGTGCCTGATCGGGGGCTGAAGAGGCATCTGGATGAATTGGGGGAAGTTAAGCAGGGACCCTCCCCCACCTCTGCTTGGGTTCCAGGTTCTTTTCCAATTCAACATGTTTAGACGCTCTGGGTTTCTTAGTCTTTATGAAGGTATGTACTAGTATCTGTGTATCTCACTACCTGAAGGAACAAATATGCCTGGACCAAACAAACCCCTTTG